GTGCTGCCAGAGAGGGAATATATCCATTTAAATATTTGATTTGTATCCAAAACCCATTCCATCAAAGCTATGGCACCCACAGCAGTCTGCTGACCCATTTGGGAAATTATGCAGGCATTTCTGGTGTGCCTGAAAAGTAGCCTCAGCTCCCCAGAACCCTAGAACCAAATGTCACAACTGGTTCTGAGTATTAGACATCAGATTATCCGGGTCCCAGGATAATGCACAGTCAAGTTCAGTGAAACTGGAGCTGCCCCCATCCATTACTTCATGCTGGCTTTGGGGCCTCAACGTCCTCAGTCTGAGCCAAATGCACCTTGAGGCAGTGCAGGGCGCGCTGGCAGCAGGGGCTGCAGGGGGGCTGGGATCTGGCCACCTGGCCCAAGCTTCCCCATCGCTTTCTACTGCTCCCTTTGGATTCTTGAGCAGCCGATTTTTGAGTATTTCTGCCAAAAGCCAAGATAGCTAGTAAATAATCACCTGCAATTTGCAAAGCCATTCAATTTGCAACTATTTTCATTCAGAATTTTCTGGAATTCCAGTGGCCAGCCTTTGTCTTCAGACTTGCAAGGTACTTGGACCTCTGTGGTGAGGACATGGGAGGGAGTTGGGTCTGCTTCCCAAAGTGAAAGGAAACCCCAGACACAAAGGAACAGCAGGGAAAGCCATTCTCAGCTTCCTCAGGGTAAGGCTGACTGCTCTGAGAGCCTGGAGTGCCCCAAACTGTAGCGCCCAACACTCAGCTATCTGCCTTAGACACAGAATACCATTTGTGCAAAAGCAAAGCGCAACAAATGCAAATAAGGCAAACAAATTTCTTCCCTCCTTTCATGCCTGGCACATAATAGGTGGCCCATAAATGGTAGTTGAATTATTTGTCAGAAAGAACGCTTCACTGACATACAAACTCCTTAGCTTTTTTTTCATGCTCTGGAAAGGCCAAGCTTGTAGACTTAGCTCCAAATTAGCCTTGTGCCTGATTCTTTTTAAAAAACAACATTTTGCTAATCAAGTGCATTAGAAATATTTTGTCTCCAATATTCAAGTACAACAAATTCTATGGAAACCTTTTCAAAATTCTATTATTTACTTATTTAAATTTTGGTAAAATACATACAACATAAAATTTACCATCTTAATCATTTTTAAGTGTACAGTTCAGAGGCATTTAATACATTCACATTGTTGTGCTGTCATCACCACCATCATCTCCAGAACTCTTTTCGTCTTCCCAAAGGGAAACTGTCCCATTAAACACTGACACCCCATCCTCTCCTTCCCCCCAGCCTCTGACAACTCCTTTTAGTCTCATAAATTTGACTACTCTAGGAATCTCACGTAAATGGAAAGAAACTGAGGCTAAGGAGAAAATAATCTTTTCACCCACAAAGTCAAAATTTCTGTTCTATTAAGTCAGTGACAAAGACTCTGGTGCTCCCCCGAGGTGACCAGCGTTTGTTTTGGTCGTCTGGGTAAGTCACCATTCGTGAGGGGGTGGGGGTCAAGATGAATTGGGTTTGAAAGTTTCCCGTCTCAAGGAGATTTAACTCAGTGTGCTTGTGGGGACAAGTTGACTCCAGGGTGGACGTGTCTGGCAACCAGAGCGATCACATCCACTCCACACAGCGAGCCTGTGATCCCAACCTTTCATTCCCTCCCTCCCTCCCTCCGTTGTTTCCCTTCATTCTTTACAGTGGTTAAGTCTTCCCCTATCCTTGACCTGGGTTCTCCATCCAGCTCCTGCCCACTGTCAGCCCCAGGCTGCCCCACTTCCTGCTGTCACTCCTTCCAGTCTCTGCTGCCTGGATCCCCTGCCTTCCAATGATCTTTTTGAGTTCACCAACTGTCTCCTAACTGCCAATCCAGTTGGCCTGTAATGAGCTGAACTGTGACCCCCCCATCCGTATGTTGAAGTCCTAGCTCCCAGTACCTCAGAACACGACTGCATTTGAGGTACAGCATTTAAAGAGGTGACTAAGCTAAAATGAGGTCATTGGGTGGGTCCTAATCCTATATGACTGGCGTCCTTATGAGAAGATACCAGGACATGGACACACACAGAAGAAAGGCCCATGTCCGAATGTTCCCCATAGGACAGGGAGGAGTTCCCTGGACTATAGTCAGCCCTTCCCCTGTTGCCAAGCAGTGAGGGTGTTTATTTCTAAAAGTTAGGACTGAAACTTAGTGGACTGGTCCAGCCCCTCCAGATGCAGAGGTAGTTTGTGGATTGTCAGAATTCTCTGGTAGGTCCAGTATCCACTGGACAAAGCCCTAAATCCTGAGCCGCCAAGCAGCCTCAAACCACCCACTTTGCCCAGTGCCCACTCCAACACACAGAATCACAGGCCCAGGGGATACCAGAACGGACTGGCTTTTCCAGGCCACCTTCTGCCCATCCCAGCCCCAGGCACAGAGAAGCTGCTTGCCCTGGTCAAACACCCCAGATGCTCGGGTCTCAGCCCAGGGGCTGTGATTTCACTGACTTCATGTACAGCATGGAGAGTTTTCACAGCAACCTAATGTGCAAGTTTGACAACCATTGCTCACACTACCCACAATCAGTTTTCGCCTCAGTCTGATTTTGGCAAGTACAGGTGTGGAGGAAGGCAGAATACAGAGCAGTGTGGGGAGCAACAGCTATTCCTGGGCGCTAGGCCACTGACAGGCTGCGTAACATGGGAAGGTTACCTGACGCCTCTGGGCGTATGAACAGGTGCACAAAATGTAACTGATCCTCTCCCACTCAAGTTCTGGGCTTTATTACATGGCCCAAGGCCCCTCAGGGAACTGTTTTCACATGCCGCATTGCTCTTTTCATGGGGAGATCTCGGCTCCCCTAACGTGAAGGCACGTTAGGACATGAAGGGTATGGACTGGGGGAGCTGGTTACAGGAGAAAAGGTCAGTAAAAGACCCCAGATGGGCTAGTTGGCCTGGGATTGAAGAAAGCAGATGAGACTAAGCTTCCTGAGGGCAGTGACAGGCCCGGCTGACAGTGTCCTTGGGCTGTCTCTCTCATGTGTCATTATTTGGTAGGTGCCAATTCTCTTGCAACGTACACAATTTCCTTCCTTTGGAGAAGGTATAACATTTGTTCATACTTGTTAAGTGAAGAGGTCATGCATGGGTGGGTTGGAGCCTGTGATATGGCCACAGGAGAGAGTTGGTCCGGGAGGCTGGCCCCTGACCCTCTGGGCTCCTGTTTCACCAGGAGACTTGGGGTAAACCCCATGCAAACCCTTCTTCACTCCTGACCAAGTAACAGGGCTGAGCGGAGCCATGTGAGCAGCCCTCGCCAGGTGCCCTCCACCCACTTCTCATTTTACATTGTGGGCATGGAGTTCCCTCAAAGACCTTCAAAGTTCCCATTCTTTTGATTTTGGTCTTCACTGGTTGTCTCGCCAGGTATGTCACAAACTAAATCAGCTTACAAAGATTTCTTTGAGAGCTCTCATTTCAGAGTATTACATATTTATATTACATAATGCATATTAATATATCACATCAATAAACAAGTCTCTGAAAACTGAGTATCCTCGAAAAAAAATCTAAAGTCAAGTGTTAAGAACAGCACCTGGCCTTACTGCAGTTGTGAGTGCTAGCTGCTGTTACTATCATCACAGCTGGGGGACCAAGCCCTCGTGGATGGCAGCGCCTATCTCCGGCTCTCTACCTCTATTTCCCAGGGGCTGGGCAGTTTTCAACCCAGGAGATGGGAAGCACTAGGGAGAGGACAATGTTTATTTGTGCATATCCTTTTAATCCTTTGAAAGCATACACTGGGTGTTTCTGATGTGGCTCCATAACATGTTTTCACCTGATATTTTGTATTTCATTCTTTTTCCATGGGTGTCTGTTCTACTGTGTGGTTGTGGCTTAATTGTTTAACCCAAACCCTACTGATAGGCATGTATGCAGTTTCCAACTTTTCACTATTAGGAACTATCCCGAGATGAATTTAGTTGCATATGTATCTTTATTTTCATTATTTCCTGCAAATGAATCCTTATAAATAGGAGTTATTGGATCCAGGTTGTTAATGCTTTGAGTTACTGCCCAATTCTCTTCTAAGCAGAACTTATAGCCTTCCACCAACATGAGTCTGCCTGTCCTGTCACCCTCACCAACATGGGGCATGTACAGAAGAATGTCACCTTGTCGGGCCTTCCTCCTGGGTGGGCTTAACTCACGGGCCACAAGTGGAAAGATGGACTTTTTGCTTTGAAGAGGGAATGTGGTCACCATGGCCCCAGAGAATGAAAAGTTCAGGATGATAGAATTAGACCTACTTTGAGAATATACTGCATTAGTTCCTATTTGTAAATTCTAGAAAAGAGACATTACGGGAAGCTGCAGAATTACAGAATATAGGTTGTGCCACATGACCTTGGGCCAAGTGTTTTAGACCTCAGGTTCCTTAACTATAAAACAGAAATGAAAATACCTAATGTTGCAGGTTTGAGCAGAGAAGGCATTAGTTACAACTCTACATACACAGATAAAAAATTTTTTGTGGCTCAGTTGGTTAAGAGCTCGCTCAAGAGTTTTGAGCTCTGAGCAACAGCGGTTCGAGTACAGCCCAAGCTGAGCAGCCGCTGAGCTGCCAACAGGTGGCAGGATGGCTCAGCTAAAAAAAACACACACAAAAAAAACTTAAACTCTCTTAATACTGAATCAAAGATTAAATCACAGAAGCTTGTATGTGATACGATGTAAAGTTCAAAATAGGCAGAACTAGCTAATATACATTAGAAATATGCTTTTTTGAAAGAGAAGCAATGGGATGAGTGACACAAAATTTAGGAAACGGTAACCTGGGGCGGGGTGAGGTAGATGTGACTGCGGGGGACACTGGTCATGTTCTAGTTCCATCCTAGGTGTAATTACACAGGGGTTCATTGTGCTTTAGATTGCACCGACGTTGAATGCCTGTATCAATGTTTCACAAAGATTACACATTCGCCAGGGAACTTCCTAAGTGAATTATCAGAGAAACATTTCAAATGTGTTAAGAAATATTAGTTTTATTTAACCAGTTTTCACAGCTGAATATTTTATTCTATAAAAACTTTACAGATTGTACAGTTTATATATATATTTCAAACTACTGAACGAAAAAGTAGGTCCCACAGATGCAAAAATACTGCACCAACCAATCCAAGGTAAAGGCAGATTTACACACTGTACAGCTCTCCACGCAGCTAGGAGGTGGTCGGTTCTACGTATAAACTTCAAAACTGTACAAAAATAAGGTTCTGATTTTATTTCATTCTTCATACATTCAATATGATTGCAAGCTCAGAAGCCTAACAACAGGCATCTGGAATCAAGAATCAGTCCCCACTCCTGAAAGGAATGCGAATGTCTATTTACACAGGGCACTCTCGGACACCATAGTGTACTCAGAATATATTGTGTGGACAGGAAAGCAGAGAGCAAGAACATTAAAAGTCGAATATAAGGTAGTTCTTTTTTTTAAAAAGGAGTTTCTGCATTTAATAGTGTGCCAAAAGAATTTTAACTTATTAAATAACATATATTCTAAGTGAACCTAAAAATTACACTTTATAAACATAAAAATACTTTTTTTGGTGTAATACATCAATCACATCTGCAGATAGAAAACCAAAACTGTATATAAAGTAGTAATTCTCACCCAGCAACAAGAAGCATTGTAGTTATTTTCTCAAAAAGTTCAGAAAAACTATTAAAACCCACTAAAACTAACTTATAACTTAGATACTCATACTTAAGCTATTCAGTGATTCACTAATACTGCAAAACAAGCTTTCTTCTAGAGAGACAGTGGTTTCTTCATGTTAACTGGGTAAGAACCAGACATATTAAAAACGAATGAAGAATCAGTTGATTTTTCAGCATGAATCCTAAACTTACTTTAGTTTGGGGATATGTTCATCGGTGGATTTTTCATCAGAAATGGTTATCCTAAAAGATAAGTCTTACTTTTAATTTAGAATTTTCCACCTCTGAGGTACCTGTACCTTCTTGGAGACAAAGGCACATCTCAGATCTTTCTATATCTGTTAGAGACAGGGAGGTGAGGCCAGCTAGTACCTCTTTAGAGTCTGTTCTAAAAGGAAAAAATAAGGAAAACATTATCCCAGACTTTTTTGCCATCCCAAACCAGTAAAACACTCTTTTTTTTATACAGTACAAGCCAAACATAACAAAAACTAGAGCTTTTAAAGAGCAGTCTAGAGCTCACCATTATACTTTCATGTTTGTGTGTATATTAAGTACAAAATAATTTTGTTTGGACAAAGGAGTTTTGTATTTATTTTAGAGTTACAGTACTTAAAAACTCCTCAATAATAAATAGCTTGGATGTTTCAAGTCTAGCTTCCAAGCGTGAGCTAAGAGTGAACGTGTGTTAGGCCGTGAGGGTGGATCAGGGCAGCTCGGAGCCACAGGCGTCCTGCTCCACAATCCCAGTGTCATCGGCAGGCAGCCTGCCCGTCAGAACTCATCGATCTTCCTCTGCAGGTATTTCAGCATGGAGTCCATACCCTGGGCAGAGCCCCAGATCTTCTTCAGCACTTCACACTCCCTCTCATTGGCCTGCTCCAGCTCCACCTTCATGTTACAGCGCACAAGGGCTTTGGACTCTTCAAGTACCTGGACCAAACAACACGCAGTTAGTTACTCGCAGGGTGTGCCCGCGAGCTCGGGCTCCACTTCACCCCAAGTTTATGGAGGCAATGATCAAATGGCTACAAAGTCTACCCGACATTTCTTCACAATGCACTTCAGGCCTAATATATGTACGAAGTGTATTTCACATTAGATAGTGGATAAACTCTCAACTTCAAAGTGGCTGTAAAGCTATTTCAAAAGAAAGCTGTGCTATCTGCACCCTGGCATTCTCCTGACATCAGGACCAGCCATGGCCCGTGCTGCTGCTCGGGCCAGTGTGGAGGCGGCCTGAACTGGACATCAGCTCTTGTGATGCTCAATGAAAACTCTTGAGAATGCCCACTGAGGGGACTTTTTAACCAAAATTTAATTTTAATAATGAGGGTTGTTCATATGCCTGGGACAGCTTAGATGGGAATTAGGTCAGTTAATATCAAATAACATTTCACCTTATAACTTGTTAAATGCAATTTTGTTAGAAGATTAAATATTACCCAGCACATTTACTAAACAAAAACTTAAGTTCACTGTGGGAGGAAAAAACAGAAATGTGATTATATGAAAGTGCTATGGAAAACAACAGTCAAGAAGCATATAAATGTTTTTTATAGTTTTGTAGGTCATTTAAAAATGACTAAATCTGCGATTGAAATGCATTCCTGTAATTCTTGGGTATTTGCAGAGGGAGGACAAGGTAAGCCAATCTGGAGCAGTGGCGTCCATCACGGCTTCCATCAGCATTTCCCGTGAAGGTGGCTGTGCAGGGAACAAAGGGTCATGGAAAAAAAGAAGTCATATATGTGAGAAAATGAATTTGACGTACCACTGGGTTACACGAGGCAAGCTCCTTAATGCGAACCATGACTTCTTGGGTGAAGGTCCCGGGCCAGAATACCTGTGAGACCAGGCCTTTGCCGCAGGCCTCCTGTGCTGTCAGCTTCCGGCCACTAAGCAACATTTCATTCGCCTGAACAGAAGAGTTGAAACTGCTATGAAATGTGAGGGTCAGGCAGGCACATTAGATCCAAGCCCAAAATTTATCCCTTAAAAATTCAAACTGAGGATGGGCATTTGAATGCGCTGGCCCTGGCGGGACTCGCTGCACGTGCTCCAGGATTCCGTCCCCAGTACACCTTTCCGGGCCGTGACTGAAAAAGCCCACAGGGCGCAACCAATCACGCAGATGGCAAGTAACGAGCCAGCCAGCCATTAAGACACATAACAAGCTTACTTTATGGTGCAATAGAGAACCAAATGAACTTAACCAAGAAATCTAAGAGAAGATCTATTTGTTAATTTGAAGTTTTCCGCATGTCCCGACTCTCTGCCTGCCTACTCCTCCCAATGTGTGAACTCATTTAATACACAAAGCAGTTTCCTGGGAAACGAAGGCATAAGCAAAGCTAGGAAATTTGCAAGTTTAGGGATCTGAACCAGTCTGGAACTACTACACAATGTAGTAGAGGAGAGGCCAACGGTGACTTGTTCTCAGTATACAGTATTCTAAGGGCACTGAGTGCTCTGCTGAAGCATAACTTGGAGGCCACGTTTTATTGCTTGAACATTAAAATAAACCATCCAGGACCCAAGTGCATCTAAATGGCCTTTACTGTGGGTCTCACGATAGTTACTTCAGGTGACTCAGGGGAGGAAGTTAACATTTGTGTGTGTGTGTGTATAAAGTATAAAACTGATTTTACCTTTGCCCTGGATTCTACAGCACTTTTAAGGTCTCAACACAACGCGTATGGATTTTATCTCATTCAAATGATAGGCTCACAGATGCTGAAATAAGTTGAAAGGGGAATATATCTGACAAAGTTTGCATTATTCTAATGTGACAATTTCCTATCTGTAGTTTATCCTGCATGGTTATCCTTCCTGAAGATTCTGATAGTCACGAAGAAGCTTCTGGGTTCAGGTAAAACACACTTTTGGTAGGTGGCTTCCTTTTCCAAAAGAGGCAAAAACCATCGCTATGAAAAGGCTTTAAAGTGTTCAGTTCCTCTCGCAGTTGACAGTACCTGTGGACTTCCTGTAAGTGCATCCAGACGGCTGACTGCATGTGAAATGCACAGCTTGGAGAATGCACAAGTAAGAGTTGGCAAGGACAATGTCTGGCCGATTCACCACCCTTTCAACACAGGATGCAGAACAGAGTCTTCACAAGGATGGCACAACTCACTTTAGTTCCAAAATGGAGCCTGTTATTTGAGCTAAATCTTGGACAAGTTATGAGTATTTGAAGAGTTTAGAGTAGTTCTACAAAATCCCCAAGCAGCGTCTTCTCAATGAAAAGAAGGTTTCAAATAAAAAACAGATTTAAAAACCTAACTTATAACCTTACTGGTAGTTGTTAAGGTAGTTCTTCTAAAGGCAGATCCAATGAGAAAGGAGAACAGGAGTCCCTGATCACATGACTTAGTGGGAATGGCTCTCTAGTAACAGAAATTTTCACTTCCTTGTCTGCATTTTTATACAGTGAAGACAACACCACAGCTAAATCACTTAGGTTAAGTGTGAAGTAAGTTCTCAAGACAACTACAGGGTCTTAGTTTGGGTGGTGGACACGCATGACTTCACCAGACCCCGAGTGCACGCCAGGAGTGGGGAGTGACGAACAGCAAGCGTCCTTCATGTGCTTCTTCTCCAGCGCCTCCATGGGGCCCTCTGTTCTCCACAGTCACTTCTCTGAAGGTATTTTTTTTTTTGCCACCTGGAGGACAACTGACAGCCCTACCTACCACTGTCTCTCTTTTCATTTCCTTTTCTTGATTCTCTCGCAGGCCTGGTGCCAGCCAGCTGGGCCGACAGTGCATCAGAACACTCCTCCTCCTCTCCAGTCAGGGAGCTGTCCGAGCCCACCCTCCTCCTTTCAGATCTGGGCTCTGTCCTGGCTATCACTGGAGACTGGTTCCCTACTTAGTTTTCTGTGTCCCAGATGGCTGGATGTGCAGGGCATTTCTGAATTCACCCAGAAGTATGAATGGTGGGACTGACTCAAGGTTGTTTATACTCTCACGTGAGCGCAGGCAGGGAGTTGGTTTAAAATAGTTATCATGTAAAACCAGTAAGAAAAAATTCCCTTGCTAAGATTAGTAGGCTTGAATACACTCAAGTTTAATGGGCATATTCTCATAAATATAATTTCTAGTAGTTTTAAAATTAGAGGTTTCTAACTAATACCCAAATAACAGATATGCAGATACAGTCACTGGGAAATTTCTTAGCTGCCATTTTCTTCTAAGATGGCTGACTGAACAAGGGACTAAACGCAGACAGCCCACAAAAACATCCAATGTGGTCAAAATTGTTCAACTGTTTAAAAAAAGTTATAGTGTAACTATGCAGGCAAATGATAAACGCCAAAGGCTAGTGAGGTAGAGACCTCTTATTGTTCAGCCAGAAAGATCACATTCAGAGGTGTGGTGAGGAAACTTGACCAACTTGGGTGAGAGGGATCAGGAAGCTTCAAATCTCATGGAGGCAGCTTGGCAGCGGCTCTGCCACTTATTCCCCTGGACCAGTCTCTCAAGTCCCCAGAGGGCAGCTCTGCCCTGCAAATTCAGGACTGAGGGCTGACAGGCTTACAAATGGGAGAATGTGTTTGACAGCTCTGTGCTCCTCGGCTGAGGTTCCTTCAGCTGTCAGTCACAGCACCTGACGCTTTCGTGAGGGTACAGGCTTCACAGGGGTGATCCTTGAGACAGGACTGTGACTTGGCAGTGTCTGGCACAGAGTGGGCACTCCGTGAATGTTTACTAGGCAGAAAGAGGGCGAAACCGTGGAAGACTATACTCCCAAGTGAGCATAATAGCTTCGCTGCAGGCTTGCTCTCCCCGCAGCAGACACTGTTAAGAGAAGCACAGCTCTCACAGCTTGTTTGATCTGCATGTTCTTTCGATCCTGACAATAGGACTCCTTTGGCTTATCCTCCTGCAGAGTTTTGCACATACCAAGTGGGGAAAAGCAAAACTGTTCTAGTCTAGCCTTGGGCTACTGAAAGCTCCCGTACACCAAAAGCTCAGGACAGAAACTGCATTTGGGTAGTCACTGTCAACAACAGTTGTCACAATACAACTTACCTCAAGAACTTTCTTCACGTTTTGTATAGAGGTTTAAATCCAATACTGCCCCCAAGTGCAGACATTTAGGCCGTTGGACCCTGATTTAAAGCAGGGTTTCCTCACCTGGGCTAACGGCAGCCTGGTGTGGAGGGTGTCCTGAGTTGTTGGGTGTTGGCAGCACGCCTGGCCTCCCCCACTAGCATCTCCTCAGTGGTGACGGCAAGTCTCGAGACACTGCCACATGCCCTCTAGGGGTGGAGGACAGGGCAAAGAACTGCTGGCCAAGTGGCACCAAGGAGATCAAGGAGAAGCAAAAAGTACTGATTTGTCGAGGCTTGTCCGGAGGGGGAAGACAAGTGACAGAAGGGTAGGCACTCATTTGGTGATGTCTTTAAGCTACTTACGGACCCTGAGCACAGGGAGCTCGAAGACCTCCACCCCTTAGCATTTGCCCACGGGCTCCACTTCCAAATGGCCTTTGCCCAAAATGTGTTGAACGTGAAGTTTGTTTAGTATTTTCCCCAGATCTGCCCTTTCTGTACATTTGCATAAACATCATATATGTACAGTGAGAGGGCAGAATGCCCATTATTTCAATCTCCTCTAAAGTGATGACTCAAAACGAGCTTAAAATTTTACTGATGATAATGATTCTTTACTACCAGAATAGGTAGTAACTGTTAGGAAACAATGTATTTTACAGTAATAGTAATAACTCAAAATGAACTTAAAGTAGTTTTCTCAACAATGACTCTTTTACCACCAGATGCAGGTACTGTTAGGTGGGCGCAGCACAGTGAAAACAAGACAACCAGACATGCCTGCATTTCACCTGTAAAAAGTGGAGATCACTTGGGGTGGTCACAGATATGTCACCCAAGACCTGCCGGCCTAGGAAATACTTGTTGCTTGGCTATCGGGAATGTTGTCAGCAGGCATCTCCTGGCAAGAGCTCCCGGGGGGCCTCATGCATGGGTGGCCCTACTTGGGGCTGTTGCATCCAATGGCGCCCGAGTAACTGGGATGACCACACTCGCTCAGAGCAGCTCCCAGGCTCGGCGAGGGCTTCGTCAGAGCTGCACATCTCACCGCCGCCCTGCCCCATCCTACTTCCTGTCTGCCCTGCCAAGGGCTGACACCTAATCCCTGCCCTGCTTGCCGCAACCCACCGGGCCTCTGCTTCTCCAGGCACTAACTTGTGACAGGTAGGAGTGGAAGCACTGATGAAAGGGGCTTTGGAGCGGGAATGCTCCCTAGCTGGCTGGCAACGAAGACCTTCCTAGACTAGCTGGAGCACCCCAGCGCCCCACGGAGGTGGCGGTCCAAGGGCTGAAACTCTCACAGGTGATGGGACAGTGACTTGCTACCTGCCATTGCCAGGTAGCAAGATGGCAGAGAAAATTGAGTTCACCCGGAACCAACTCATTAGCCAGAGTGGCCAAGCTCCAGACAAGGTGAGTCACCCACACGAAGGCCTGTCTGGCTGTGTTGGGAGGAGAGGCGGTATGGGGACTTCTGGCTGGATGCCCTCAAAACTCTGAACCCCTGACTCCTCTGACCCGAGCCTGCATAAATGGCCCACCAATCCTTATTAAGGACAAGTATGCCCCCTCGCTTGAAGACAATGCAGAAATCTCTACAAGACAGTGTCACTTCCCGTACACCCGACCCCCCTCTCCCTCTTGGCTGTCAGGCCTGTACCTCGCCTCTAGCTGAGAACGGCATGACACAGGCAGAACATGCTGGCGGAGCGGGGAGAAGACACGAGACTGAATTCTAAGGGTTCTTGACCAGAGGGCAGACCACAGAGACGGACAGGGGAGTTCAGTGATTTGGGGGCTCTCCCGAACTACAAGATTTAACACCCTGGCAAGAGCCCAAGGAGGTGGTGTGACTCTGCTACTGCGATGGCTTCTCGAAGCCTGGAGGAAGTGATGGCTCAGGCTGAGTGACGCTGAGATGCCAGAACTGCTGTGGCCGACAGTGGAGAGGGTGGGCAAGAGGCCACGAGGATTTATGGCGAACTTCAGGGAGATGATGTCAACGCCGGCCCCTGGGGTTCCAGAGCAAGGCTGTGCCAGCCAGCAGAGAAGTGCAGGTCTTCTTAGAAAACAATTCTGGTGGAGACAGAACACCTGGCCAGGGACACCAACTGACCACACCTCTGAAGTGTCCATCCTGAGCTGAGTTCTATCAGGGCCCCCAAGGCGTACGGCAAGCAAGGGCCAGATGCACAGCTGGGATCAGGTGCAAACAGTAGAGGGCACAGGCGAGATGTACAAGCAGGTGGCTTAGACCCAAAGTCACCCACCGCTGCTGCCCCCGCGCACCGCCGCAGCTAACACCTATGGCCGAATGGGGGACTCCCTGTGAGCAAGCTTGGTTTATGGGTGGGCTGGCTCAAAACGACGGTGGGTGGGGGAAATGCTCTGAAATGAGGGATGTGTCTGGTCATGCACCTGGTGTAGGAGGCGCTGATCACTGTTAGAATCCAGAGTGACCTAGGCAGTGGTGATTGGCCTGGTCGGCTGGTCAGGGACCTGGAAAATGGGGGATACAGAGGTTGGCGGGGGGAAGGGATGTGGATAGATGACCAGGAAAGTGTACAGACTGCTCTGTCATGTCAGTGTCCATCAGAGAGTATCCAGCACGAAGAGGAACTAAAGAGCCAACTCAGAGCAGTGACACTGGCCAGTCTGGGCTGCCAGTCACCCAGGTGCTAGCACGACGGACACATGAATGGAGGAACTCCGGGGTGAGAGATGGAGCTCAGCAAGGCTGATGCAGTCACTATCGTGGCTGCACATGCAGCCTGCCAGCAGGAGACACCCATGCTAAGCCGGCAAGGCCCAGCGAGGCGAGGCGACTGTTCACAGGCACCTCCCCTGGGTCTGGGCTTGCTTCCCTGCCTTCAGGTCCCTGGGCACTCTCACGGAGGCCGCGGGCTGTCCGGTCCACTGGCCCCCACCACATGGCCCCCGACCAGAAGATCCTTCTCACCGCACAGCAGGAGCGGGTGGGTCCTCTGGCGGGTCAAACCACACACCTCCAGAAGCTGCTGGCCTGACGTGTGTGCAGGACACCAGTCTGCAAGGGCATTCACTCCCTGAGGACAGGTAGTTTCCGTTCACAGCACACACACTGCAAAGACTTGGCTAAGGTACCACGTCCTCACCAGAAAGAACGCACAGGCCTGCGACAGAAGGGTACAAGCAGGTGTGGCCACACTTACGATCCCTCAGAATGACCTATTGAGGAACACTGTGCTTTCCATCCTCAAATCTCTGGGCTCTGCTGGTCCCTGAGGGGGCACACTCTGCCAGCAGGCCGACACAGCATGGAGGGGATGTGTGGAGCCCCGGACCCCCCAGGAGCTCCCACTCCTCCCCTGCCCAACTCTGGCCTGAGTGGGGCTCGATGACAGGCCGCAGACCCTTCGGGGACCAGTGTCCTCCCGAGGCCAGCAGAGGTGGTGAGGAGGGTGGTCTAAAGCAGGAAGAGAGGATGAGGAGGACAGCGGAGGGCAGGTGGGGCGGCCCCGGCTGCATTTGTCCTATACCGCCTCTATTACATTTCTTTAAACTATTTTAAACTTTCTATTTTAGTAAGACATTTAGACTTATTGAAAGATTACAAAAGCAGTACAGACAGTTCCTGTTAACCCGTCACCCAGCTCTCCCTAACATTACCATCTTATGTAACACTTAACAGTGATCAAAACCATATCACTACCATTGATACAACACCATGAATGGAACTACAAACCCTGCACAAGTGTTGCCCGTTTTCCTACTGCTGTTCGATCTCTGACCCAGGATCCCAGGAAGCCACCCTGCACCGAGATGTCAGGTCCCCTTAGTGCCCTCCAGCCTGTGAGGGTTCCGCAGTCTTTAGAAGGGTGCTGCTCTGCTCGGTATCTGTAGAATGTGCCACATCTGGGTTGCCTGGCGCCCTCAGGGATAGACTGAGGCCATGTGCCTTTGGCTGGACTCCAGCAGGGCGACACTGTCATTGGTGGTGCAGGACAGCAGGGCAAACTGCGGCCATCAGATCTATTTCTGGTGAAATTCAGTTACTCAGTAAGGTGGTTGGTGCCTGCCCGCTTCTCCACTTGAAAGTTACTATTTTTCCATCAGAAGTAACGAGGATGCAAATACCCTTCTTTTCATCATACTTTTACCCACCAACTTCAGCAGTTATCATTGTCTAATCCTCCTCCTCTATGTCTTCCCCAGGAAAAGAGGCCTCCGGAACCTGGAGATGTGCTGCTGAGATCCCCTCCAAGGGCAGTCTTGCTGCCCCCACTGCTGGCAGTGCCATCGGCAGACAGCCATCAGCTCCTGCGGGGACGCCGTGTTGCAGAGTGCCACCTCACCCATGGGCACAACGCTCTTCTCTAACAGCCCACACTCCCTGATAACGGACACAAAGGGACCAGCCATCTCAGTCCACTGTGGGATGATTGTCGACGGACTATGTACGCCCTGGAGCTCCCATGGTGGCCAAAGCTTTGTGGGGTCCGCCTCACAGTTCGCCTTCTCCCTCTGTCCAGCTCTCTCTTTCCCTGTCCCTTCAACAGGTGTTGACTACTTTGTTTTCCTACTGCTTCTGGAGACCCCAACCGGGACACTAGGGCATGCCTGAGATACTGCGGACTCAGTTCCAGACCACTGCAACAAAGCACCGCAACTATCACAATAAAGTCATTCACACGAATTTTTTGGTTTTCCAGTACAGAGAAAAGTTATGTTTACACTACACTGTAATCTATTAAGTGTGCAACAGCATATGTCTAAAAAAACAATACATACCTTAATTAAAAACACTTTATTGCTAAAAGATGCTAACCATCACCTGAGCCTTCGAGTCATTATCTTTTTCCTGGTGGAGAAGGGTCTTGCCTCAGTGTTGATGGCTGCTGACTGACCAGGGTGGTGGGTGTGGCAGTTTCTTAAAATAGGACAACTATGACATCTTCCACATTGACGCTTCCTTCCTTCCATGAGCGATTTCTCTGTAGCATGCAGAGCTGTTTGACAGCATTTTATCCACAGTGGAACATCTTTCAAAATTTGAGCCAATCTCCTGAAATCCTGCCACTAGTTTATGTGATATTCTAAATCCTTGGTTGTCCTTTCAACTATCTTCACATCTTCTTCACCAGGAGTAGATTCCATCTCAAGAAACCACTTTCTTTGCTCATTCATAAGAAGCAACTCTAGACCCATTAAAGTTTTATCAGGAGATTGCAGCAATTCAGTCACATCTTCAGGCTCTACTCGTAATTCTAGTTCTCTTGCTATTCCTACCGCATCTGCAGTTACTTCCTCCACTCAAGTTTTGAACTCCTCATAGTCATCCATGAGGGTTGTAATCAACTTCTTCCAGACTCCTATTAATGTTGATATTTTGACCTCTTCCCATGAATTACAAATGAGCTTAATGACACCAACAATGGTGAATCCTTTCCAGAAGGTTTTCAATTTACTTTGCCCAGATCCATAACAGGAATCACTCTCTATGACAGCTATTACCTTATAAAACTTTTCCTTAAACAATAAGACCCGAAAAGACAAATTACTCCTTGGTCCAGGAGCTGAAGTATGGGTGTTGTTAGGGTGACAAGGTACATTGTCAGTGAGCAGTATTTTGAAGGGAATATTTTTTTCTGAGCAGTAGGTCTCAACAGTGGGCTTAAAATATTCAGTAAACCACATTGTCAACAGATGTGCATCATCCAGGCTTTGTTCTTCCACTTATAGAGCACAGGCAGAGTAGAATTAGTATAATTAAGGGCCCAAGGATTTTTGGAATGGTAAATGAAGACTGGCTCCAACTTAAGAGTCACCAGTTGCATTAGCCCCTAAAACAAGAGTCAGCCTGTCCTTTGAAACTTTGAAGCCAGGCACTGACTTCTCCTCTCTAGCTATGAAGGTGGTTTCTTCCTCCAATATAAGGCTGTTTTATCTACACTGAAAATCTGTCATTCAGTGTAGCCACCTTCATTAATTATCTTAGCTGGATCTTCTGGATAACTTGCTCGAGCCTCTACATGTGCACTTGCTGCCGCTCCTTGCCCTTTCACACTGCAGAGATGGCTTCTTTCCTTAAATCTCATGAGCCAACCTCTGCTAGCTTCAAACTTTTCTTCTGCAGTGTCCTTACCTCTCTCAGCCTTCATAGAATTGAAGAGGGTTTGGACCTTGCGTTGGATTTGGCTTTAGCTTAAGGAAATGTTGGGGCTGGTTTGATCGTCTATCTGGACCACTGAAACATTCTCTATATCAGCAATAAGGCTCTTTCATGTTATTATTTGTGGGTTCACTGGAGTAGCACTTTTAATTTCCTTGAAGAACTGTTCCTTTGCATTCACAATTTGGCTGTTTGGCACAAGAGGCCCAGCTTTGGGCCTATCTCGGCTTTTGACATGCCTTCCTCACTAAGCTTAATCATTTCTACCTTTTGATTTAAAGTGAGAGATAGATGTGTGATTCTTCCTTTCACTTCAGTATAGCTTTTAGGTTATTAGGTAAAAAAACCCTTTCGATTGCAAATTCTGTTGTCTGATTTAGAAATTGGGTATTTACCACTAGTGGATATCAGTGTTAATTATGCAGACACAGGTTCCTCGTTAAACGAGGTCCTTCTCTAGAAAATCATGCAAAACAGTGTCAATAAAGGTTCCGAACCAAAATATGAAAACCTCTTATGATTTCATGAATTAATAATATGAGTTAATGAACAAGAATTGAATTACAAGTGTATTTGATGGAAAGTCCCCACAGAATGACAACCTGCATATATTTAGAAAGCCAATACCAAACTAGATTTCTTCAGGAAGTTTTCTAGAATTATTTTTTAAATAGAGGTACTCACAGATGCTCCTCCCATAATCTTGGGAAACATAACGGTGGAACAGCCATCTGGACTCTGTCCGAAGGTAGTATAGGGTGTTTGAAACCAAGCCTTTTCATTGGCCCAAACCACATCACAAAGAGGCAATATGGATGCTCCTAGTCCAATGGCTGGGCCATTTACTGCTACAATAATAGGCTTCTTAAACTGAATGAAAGTATTCACGAAGTTTCTAAAATAAAAAATAAATGGGGAATTACTCAAAACATTGTGTATTTGAGCAACAAAAATCTACTATTATGAAATTCAATTTACCAAGATGTAAACTCTGTGGAAATCATGATGAGTTTTGTTAAGGGCCTTCCCTCGCAAGTGGTAGACCATGGATTTATTTACTGTGTGTTATAAAGGCTTAATCATTCCCTGGCTGCCATGCCAGGAAGAGTGAAGGACCTATGTGAAGATTATGAGTAATATACAGCCAAAGGCTGCTCTTGTATTTGCAGTGGCTCATGGGTTCTATGATCAATATGTCTTTTTCCTCAGCTTTCCTTCCCTTTAAAACATAAGGAGCCCAAATAAACACCATGGGCTTCAGACAACTAGTCTAGCTCTCCCAGAGAAAACCTGGCACAAGGCATACTATTTACACTGCCTGGTGTTGAGCAAAGATGAGAGGACAGGAGCCAGGAACCATGGGGTCAGGGTCTGGGCTTGAGATGTGATTTCAGAGAGCTCACTGATTATTTGGAAACATATTTCCTGAGTTTATACAGAATGAGACTGAATGGCTTGGAGGGTGCAGAGAAAAGAAGCTCACAGGTTGTTTAAAATATGAGATCTAAACAACGGCAGAAACGAGATACCATTCGTAGTCTGTGTGCTATAGAATACGATTATAGCAGGGTTTCAAAGAAGAGCGTGACTAGGGGTAGGGCAGCCTTCACAGAGGATGTGGAATTTTACAAAACCGAACCAGTGCTATTCTTTAGATGTGTTTTAGGGTCAGGATGGAATAACAGGGTGCTTTTCAATTTAGGGTAGGATGGTGCTACATCATACTGGGAATGTGCATATTCTTCTCACCGCTAGCATCTCATTTTATGTTCAGAGGTTGCTTTTTGTTATGATTTAACACGGTGAAGAAAGGGATAAATACAAACCAAAATCAATCCCAGATAATTCCTTTAAGGTAGTCTGGAGCTCTAGATTAGAATTGTAGAATACATAATTGTAAAGCTGAGCCCTATTCTTTGGTAGTGAAAATAATTTGGGTTCACTCTATAATTCAGCAATTTTATTGGGTTGTCGGAAAAGTCATGATGTATCTTTTCTACGTTTTTCATTGCAAAAACGCATCATGACTTTCCCGACAACCCAATAAAACCTAGAGCAATCTGTTCAGAGTATCTCTGAAAATCATGACTCAGCATCTTAGGTTAATAATCTCCCTGCCGAAACTGATGTGAGGGCAGGTTGGGGAGGTGTGTGGGTGTGAGGAACAGGGGCGAGCAGGGAGCACGGAATTCGGCAAAGGGCAGGCCTAGCTCCGCGGCCTGCTCTCAAAGGTGCCCCACTGTCAGCTCGTAGGCCTCAGTCTGTCTCCAAAGTCAAATGGATTTTTACACTGGGTGAAAATTAACTCATTCAAATGAATGAGCTGCACTAAGACTTTCTAAATGAGAGAGCCTGAGGCACTGTTAGAAAGATCACACTGGGTTTTGATGATACAAGGAGAGATCTAGGCAGCCTTTTAAATAGGTCCTTGCGATAACTGTACACAATCTACAGGAAGCTATTTCAGTTGCACCACCTTCTAAGGATTTTGGGTGACACATGATGGAAATACATTTTCTATGCTCAGTTACTGATGACTCTTGAAAAAGTAACTGCTGAACTGGCTCCACGATATAAAAGCAGGCACTTCCCGTGTGTCTCCCCAGGTGCCCTGGAGTAGAGTAGCTCCACTTTCATCTGCCCCATAGAAAACATCTGGAAACCACGCATGGGATCATAGATTAACATGGAAAAAAGGATCAAAATAGTGTAATAATAAAATAATTCTAGAGAGAAATGGTAAGAGGAATTATTTCATGTAACAGTGTTTTCGCTCATGTTATATGTTTGCATAAAAGAATAAAGTTTGCTTCTAAAACTAGGTATCATAAAATCAAAGCTTGGATTTTTCACAGGCTGGAGAAGTATTTTTGGAATTGAATTTTTTCCCCCTAATAAGATTTTATTTTATTTTTGCCAGGAATGACAACTTAATCTGCAAGCCGTGGCTGTTTCTGGGAGGGGTATGAATTAACTAGCACCCTCTGGAGTGAAGACCATTTTCCCTTTTCAAAGGACACAACCTGGCTTTTCTGGCATGTGAGGTCTGAGATGCCAGAAATGAGTGTGGTCCACTGAGAATTCAGTTTTATTTAAAAACACGAAAACAAAACTTCATAGAAATGCTTTTCTACTTAGTACAAACCTCTCAGCGCCACAAAAGCTTAGTCAGGTGTGCTGCATGCACATCAGCCACCAGCTACCAGAGGTGAGGAGGCATGAGCTCCCTTCAGGCCTGGGGACAAAGCTCTCGGGAGCCCAGCATTAAGGCAGGCTTGTCGACGTTTTGTTGGCCATAAAGCAAGTGTATTTTGAAACTTAAAATCAAAACGCATGTACGTTCAAATGTGCTCAAGGCAACATACTGAATTTAAATTTCAGTTTCCTTTGAATTATCTACAAATTGAGTTAAAGGCTGTGCCAGGTATGGCAAGGAAGGAAAAGAGATTATATTTGCCACAAAAGAAGTTTTAAAAGACTTATAATTAAACAAAAATCAAAATTCTATCCATTCTTTTGAAGAACATTTACTACTTCACAGACATCAAAAAGTTAGAAAAATCACATAAGAGCAATAGTCTAAGAATTGTTTGGTGAAAATGAGGTAACCTGGATCTGAAGTTTTAATAGCTAGTTCATTGCCATGTCTCAGCTGAGCTCTCCCTTCATTTTGAATACATGGTATAGGACTGGACAGGGAAGAGGTCAGGTGCTAGGGGCACATTTACTCGGGGGCCTTCTCTCCCCAGATCCCTCCCTCGTCTCACTTTGGTGGTATAAGATGCCTCCCCTTCTGGGGAAGGAGGCTCCTAGTCTTTCAGTTCCTGCAGAATTCGAAAGCCTATCTTTATAAACTGATTCATAATCAGTTTATCACTAATGTGCTGAATATTATCATTGCAACTTATTTGCAAACTGATTATCACCAACAATTCTGAATACAGAATTAGCTGCAACAGATACCTCCACAAATCTAGTGTGTAAATCTAATCTTATTTCCTACTTTTCTTTTGGAAACTTGCTACAATGACACTCCTTGCCTAAAGTTTTAAGGAGTCAAGACAAGATACCACAGAAACAAAAAAATATACATAGTAATAGTGTTATGTGTATAAGCCAATCTTACACACATAAAAATTAATTTAAATGCAAATGAACAAGAGTAAAGGTTAAGTGAATCTAGTGTAACTAATTATTTTTCGGATCCTGCCTGAGTACATTAAGAAAAATTCACATTTGATAAAAACATATTCATTTAAAGAAGAACCAAGTGAGTTTCCCTAAAGCAGGATTTGGCTTTTTCCTAGAATACTAATTCAGCTTTTTGTGGGGAGTGAGGAGAATGGCATGGGAGTGGGAGGGTTAGAAGAAATGGGGGTAGGTAGCTGATGAAAATAAACATTTAAAGTTACCTAGAAGTTCAACAAATGAGATCTCTCTTGATCTATCGTTCCTCTGCTTTCTCTAATCCCACCAATACAAGCCTTAGCCATTGTCAAGGGCAATTCAACATTGAAGGAGTGGGTTGGGAGTAGGGTTGAGGCACAAACAAGATTTAGAAGTGGAGCTTAGGGAAATGTCTACAGTGAAGTGAGCCAGAACTTAGAAGGCATTGGCTGACAAGTTCTATTTTCTTTTCACAGCAGATCTCCCCAAATCAAAATATTATGTATAAAGTCACTGTGATTACAGAAAACATACAGTCACCACCTGAGGCATAATGTTTTGTACTAGAAAAACGAAAATTCAATTCATCCAGAAAGGATGGATCGGATTAATAATTAGGAATATCTACAAGTTGTCTTAGAGGCACTACCGACAATCTGTCAAGGAATTACGTGCATGGTCAAGCAGTTTAATTTCAAACTGCGTAACAAGATGGTCCCATCTAGTATCCTACAAGTTCGGTATTATTTAGGAGACCAGAAATAATACTTAAAATTAGATTACAAAACTTCAAACTATTTTTTGAAAAACTACTACTACATCATAGCCTAAAAAAATGGTAATGTTCAAAAAGATTAAGCAATAGGTAATGCTCTGTATGCATGTGTATATAGTATGAGGAAACATTAATTTTGAAAATTATTTAAAACGCTATAAAAGGTCCAGGCAATACCCAGGTGTGGGGCACTGGGACTCCTCTGTGAGCTGTGTCAGGCAGGGCCCATCAGAACCATCCTGGGAGATCTTTCAGATAGCAACACCCTACCCGATTCCAAACCCACCCATACAGAAGCAAGCACCCCCACCAACTCTGATGTAAACCTCCAGAATGGTTCAGGGGACCACAAAGCTCTGTGCCCCCAGTAAATGCTAGGGTCTCAGCCACCTGGAGCCCAATAATTATCAAAAGAGGCTCAGCGTCAACTCCCCAAACGCCTGGGGGTTTTGGAGAAGATCCAACCAACTGTATTGCCATTCTGCAAGGCTGTGAGTTTGTTAGCTTTCATCCTTCTGTAAATTACAAAGGGTTCTTAGGGGTGACGTAGGGATATATCATTTTATGGAGGTAGGTAGTAAGTACGGTCTTTCTGGTTGGTTACTGGGTTTCATTCACTTTAAATAAAATTAATCTCTGACAATTAGATACTTTAAATTATACATATAGTGATTAACATGAGAAGTTAGGGATATAAACAAAATATGAGCCTGGATGTGCTTATAGCAAAATTATGAGGTTCTTGGAAAAGCTTTTTATACTATTATGGTACAGCAGTGAAAAAATTCATAAACAGAGGAAATGGAAATATCTAAAGTCATACTGTTAAAAAAAAAGCAAGCTGCAAAACAACACAGTATACTTCCATTTACTTAACAGAAAAATAAAGCTTTATTATTTATGTGTGTGTATCATGTTCGAAAAAATTTAGAGAAGGTTGGGGAAGACATACAAGTGAACAGTGCATGGAGGGGTGAAAGAAAGGGAATTTTTACTTTTTACTCTGGTATCTAGTTTTATGTGTAGTTGAAACTCAGGATGAACTTGAACAAGAATGTGTACTGCTTGCACTAAAAAAACCTTTTCATGTGATATTATGAAACTGGCTCATCATAAAGCCTAGCCAATTTATTTTAGAGTAAAGCAATGGTTTAAGTTATTATGTGAAAGAGAATGCATCTTTATTTAAGGGGTGAAGACAGAACAGACTCATACTACAAATAATGGAAACTCTGGCTACACGCTATTGTATACTCTAATCATTAAATTTTCCCTGAGTACTTACTGGGTTTGAGCCAGCCTTGATATCAGTTATTTGCTCAAGGCAAGGAGTAATTTATGCCAGGCCCACAGAAAAGACAGATAGATGATTTAATTCATTTTGCTACTCATGTTTCTCAATGGAAGGGGATGTACATTTCGTTCGCAAGGCTTATTTAAGCCCGTTCTATCAGGTACAGTACACTAAAAGCAAAACACTCAAACCAACATTTTAAAAATAATACCACTTATGCATACCTGATAGCTTCTGCCATTTTAGTGCTTTCTCTTTTTCTGTCATCTGTTAAACGCCGTATAAAATAAATAAAGTCGAGACCACAGCAGAAGACACTGCCCACCGCGCTGAGCAGCACGAGCTTGCTGTCATCGGCCGCAGCCGTGCTCAGGGCACTCTGGACTTCTTTCATTACCTGAAAGTCACCAAAAGTTAAAGTGGCAAAGAGTAGTTTTCATACAGAACCCTAAAAGCATTTCACTATGGAAAATCTGGATCTACAGAAACTGCCTTTACAGGCTGATACTGTTCCCTGTAGCTGCCACAATTTAAAATAATTCACAAATTTCTTATTTCTGTAACCAGAGACTGGGAATGCTGGGGACAGAGTATAATTATGTAACTAATTATGAATAGAGTATCGTTAGAAAGATGTGTGAATCCAAGTTACCTTAATATTTTAGTCACTGTGGCTCTCAGTAGCTAAGTTATTAATATTATATCCACTTGGTATTTCTACACTTTGGACAGCAGGTGGCACATTCAACCAGTTCGAAGAAACTAGTTCAGTTTCCTGTTTTGTTTGTTGTTTTTTTTTTGTTTTAACACCAGCCTGCTGCACTTGAGACAGAAACCCTAACAGTTTGGTGCATGAGTATATTTGGTACAAGCACATTTGGAGTGGCTTTAGAAGGCACAAAAGCATTTGAAATGATCTCTACGAGCATTTACAAGAAACCAATGAGGGGCTCTGCAGTCTAAAAACATACTGGGGACCAGCCCTGAACTGGTTAGTCATGTGACCCTGGCCAGACATACAAACTTGATGTAGTTTGGTTTTCTTGTCTGGAAAAAAGCTTGACCTAGCTGCTCACAAGTGGAAAAGAAACAATTACTAGAACTTAAAATTTTAAGTAAGGTACAGTGCAGGTTCAAACACTTCTGACTTTAGATACTTCATAGAATTAGCTTTTGAGCCTTGATCCTTGAAATCTACCTTTACCAGGTACTAGCAGCAACGAGCATTACGTTGAAATCGCTGTAGCTGTAAATTCCATGCAATGCTGAAGATTGACTAGAACGATGCTAAAATACTCTGAAGGGGCTGGGACCCACGGCACTTCAATCTTGTCTAAACAAAGAACCCTTTGAGAATCTAATGAAAGCTAAAGAAAAGCCTGTGAACACACACATTTTACATGCGACTTCAGGGATGAAGGTCCCCGAGGCCCCCCCTGCTCCCAGGTTAAGAGCTCCTATTCTGGAAATAGACCGAGGCACAAGTACCACCTCCCCCGTGCAGTACTCTGGTCCTGTCACAGCCCTCCCTCTTAAGAAGGAAGACGAACACTTGACACACGCATACTGTCCCAACTTCACTGCAGTCACAGTGTCCCAAGGAGGAGCAAGACTACCACACTTCATCGCTGCTTTCTATCTCCTGTTGGTTATTTGGAAACGGCCCAGGAGATTTAGAAAACGCACAAAGAAGAGCGCCAACTTGGCAGAGCAGGCCTGGAAAACAAAGGCTTGCAGAAACAGGACCACAAATCAGCCCCAGGAACATCTCTCACCTCTGGATTTAGTGAGTTATTCTCTGATGACTTTGTTGATAACAAGATGTGGGTGAAGCCATCCTGCTTCCTGACGACAATATCTCTGTATCTGTAGGCACTTTCTGTTTGCCTCACACTGAAACGCAACCGCTTGTCAAAAGGCTGGTCTCTTCTCTCATCAAGAAATTTCCTTTTCCCAGCTGTCACTCCTGTCACAGATGTCTGTATGTTGGTTGTTCCATTGGCTGTTAGCGCATCCATGAACGGAGATGTACCTGCCAAGAGTTTGAAATCACAGTGGTCTGTGATGTCCTGCTACCAATTCACTTCCCAGTGTCTTTGAATTAGGTAAAAGCATTCATTACAAACTCAGGGTTTAAGGTATCAATGCAAAAATATCCAAAATCAGAACCTTTGGAAAGTCTACTTTTAAAGGCATTTGTTTTCCATCAAAGTCTGACAAGGAAATCACCCTCTTGCTTATCTTACCTAAAAAATAAAGATGGAAAGGTACTGGCTGAAAAGAAGCTACAAAATTTGAGACTTTTGAAGGACGGAATTAAGAGAATGGGTCTCATGAAGAGTACCTATTCCAGGCTTGAGAAGTTGAAAAAAGGAAATCGATTCAAGAAAATACCTTATTATCAGAGCCAAGGTTATCTGCCATTTCCTTTTCTGAACACAAGATCGACATGTACAGACACAAGATGTAGCCCTACCCGTGGCCACCACTGCAGACCATACCCGCCCCACCGGGGAGGCGTGGGGTACTCAGGAGTTCTTTCTTCTGACGCCCTGGGATGTGACTACTTATGATGTCTGTCCACTGGTCCTAGTTCTACTGCATTTTCAAATGCCTTTTAAATAGCTAAAGATTGCTCTTTCCTGCTACAAAATTTTCCCACCAACTTTCCCTCCTGTGTCATCTCTTCACTATCAACCTGGTTGGTTTTCCAAATCTGTCTTAAAAATATGGTCTCCTGAATTTAATATTTATTATGATAAAGTCAAGAATTTTACTCAATACTTTCACAGGGTTACCAAGAAATGTCAGGTAAGAATTCAAGTATCAGGTAAATCATTATCCTCCTATTTATATGAATTGTCTACATCAGAAGTTGGCAAACTTTTGAGACGAAAGAGCCGTGTCAGGGGTCAGCAAACTGCGGCTTGCGAGCATGTGGCTCTGAAGTAAAACTGAAAATGAAAATAAAACTATCATAGTTTCATTTATAAAATTTTTAAAGAATATTATTCACATAACGGTGATTATGTAAAAATGTATTTATGACTCGAGTCATTTTTAAATTGTTGTGAGGAACAACATTGGCTCTTCCAGGGGTTGGCAAACTTTTGAGACGGAATGTACCCAAAGAGCCGCATGCGGCTCGCGAGCCGCAGTTTGCCGACCCCTGGTCTACATAATATCTGACCTGGTAATGAGTGTATACAGCCTTTTGGGTAGGAGAAGAATGGAAAAGAAATGTAAGAAAACTGGATCAGGCTGTACTAATAAAATTAGCAATGAAAGAAGTTCTCTCAGGGGAAGAGCATGATAAATTATGAGTCAGAAACATTTTCTCCAAACTCAAATAAAATAAGCTAAGGCCATCAAACAAGATTCACAAAGGGTCATTTACAGAAGTCACATAATCTCTTAGATAAAACAATCTTTCATTCAATTGGAAGAAATACTTTGGGTTTTTTTTTTTTTT